TCTGCTCCGAAACAAACTTTAAAAAACAGCCAAAAGTGACCATGACAGAGCCGGAGAGGAAGAAACGGCCGTATCCATGGTTACAGATGCTGCCTGCAGACGGCTTTCAAGTCAAGGAGCTGCGGGTTTGTTTCAGAAACGGTTTGCTCCGGAAACACGTCGGACAGAAGTGAAACGTTAGCTCTCCACAGGGAGAAATCCACCGGTTCACCACGGAGGAGAAAAGCCGGAGCGGAGGCTCTGAAAGCCCCCCCTCTGCTGCCTGACAGGCCGGTGAGGCCCACCGCCATGACGCAACGGAGAGCAAACCAGCCAGGAGGAATCGATTCGTCCAAGGCCAAATTTAAACTCGAGGAGACTCAAATTCACGTCATTCCTCCTAATTTATTCCCAATTTCTGATCATCCTTCGTTCCCATCTCCAGCCGTCCGTCGATAAACAGCAAAGCAGAAAACAGGAGGTTTAACTTCCACCTCCAAACCTCAAACTGGAGCCATGAAACGACCTGCAGGTTCCCTCAAAAAACTGTGGACTTTGACATTCCCTCAGAGACACTACAGGTTCAACTGACAATGAAACCCGACCAGAGTCTGAAAATAACAAGAAATACAAACTGATTTTACCGACTCTTGGTGTTGCTGCAGATCAGATTTTCCACTGACTTTACTCAGAAAGTTTCAACTTAAATGTTAAAATTAACATAAAAACCTTAAAAGCGAATGTTTCAAATAAATCTGTTTTTTCTCAAGCTGGAGGTTTACCTGCTGGGGGCTAAAGTATAAATTTATTCTCACCAGGAGGTAGAGTACATAACCATTTTAGTCAAATAATGATAAAAAGTATTTTATTAAAAAGGCAGCTCAAATACTGAGTAATTGATTAATACATCAATCATTTAATATTTAAAAATTACATCATCAGACCGAATAAAATATTAAATTAGGTGGAAATTTGGGTATTTTAAAAGGTCAAAGGTCAACCAGAAGATCCACATTTATCTGTTCAAATATCAAACTAATTTTTTTTCCATTTAAAATAACAAATTATTTTAATCCGTTCCATCCCCAAACCAGGCTAAATTAGGAGAAATAAAATGTTTTAAATGAATAAAGACATGTACACTTTACTGATGCATAATGAAATGCAGAGCAACATAAATAAAAGTTGTATAAAGGTTTATGCATCATAACGCAGGGTTTCTCTCTGAAAGACAAATAAACTTTAATTTTGTGAAGAACATTTAAGACTTTAACTGAAAGATATTTAAGATATCCAAAGTAAAACCAAAATCAATAAATAAAATGGTAATAGAAACAAATAAAAGAATGGATTAGAACATCTCTGTAAACAAATTTATCATGTGATTAATTGATGCTAAACTCCTTTCCTGTCACAATAATGCACAACTTTATGAATATCAATCACTTTAAATTTGTTGTTATGCAATAAAATGAGTTAAAGTCAAAGCAATTTTAACTCCTTTTAGTTAAAATATGACGATGTGAATGAAAAAGTTGCTTACTTTAACTAATAACCATTAAAAATAACATTTCTGCTGCGAGTCGATCCCCCTCCTTCTGCTGCTGCTGTGTCATTTTAAACAGACTGGCAGGTAGAGGTCATCTCTGGTGTGTTCAAGTGCAGTCATGGTTTTTTTAAAATCTTTTTCAGGGTGGGGACACCTCAAACGGCGTGCAAAGCGTCATAACAGGTTTAAAGATATGCAGCTGAACGTGACTGGAGTGAGAAAGTGGGATCGTTTCATGGGGAAGAAAAGCAGCATGTCATGAATTAGCAGGGAGAAAGTAAGAGATGAGTGTAGCAGTTAGAAACGTGGCGGTGCAGCCAGGCGGCGAGTGCTGACTGGGCTTTCTGCCTCCCCTCCCCCTCCATCCTCCATCCAAACCAAAAACAGCATCAAAGCAATCAAAATGGTAATGTTAGGCATGAATGGGGCCCATCCCCCTCCCCTCCCCTCCTCTCCTTTTCCTCCTCCTGCATTAAACTCTGCAGAGTTTTTTTTTTTTACTCTCCATGTTGTAGAGAGGTGGGAGGGGGTGGGGGGCAGAAACCACCCCCATGTCTCTCTCAAAATGGAAGCTTCCACTACAAAACTGAAAATAAGAAAAAAAAAAAAAAAAACAAGGATAAAAAGATTCACCCTCCTACGCCTCATTGTTCTGCAAAGATTGATTTCTTTTGAACACAAGTTTTAATCATAAACTAAAGCTTGAAAATAAAAGAAAAAAACAAGCAAAGCATGACGGGAAAAGTGTTGGATGTTGTTGCTGTGGAAGTTGGGTCTGTGCAGCAGCAGAACCAGGAGGAGCTGACCGTGGTGCTGAACGCTCAGCATCCGCCCTGAGCTGCTTCCTCCCGGCTGCACTGCGCGCCGAGCCGCCCTCAAAGTTACCGACCGGAACCGAGCAGGAGCCGCAGCAGCACAGCCATCACAAATATCAACAAAGAAGAGAACAGAAAGAAAAGAAAAGTGAAAGCCTGATTAAGAGCGAATCAAACGGATCGCTGTTTGTCACGTGACACAAGAAGAAATAATGCCAGCAGACAGAAGCGTAAAGTAACCAAAGCGAAGTGTTTAACTGCGTTTCAACACGAAACGGATCCAGGCTGGGCTGGTTTCTGCTGCGGAGCTGAAAAAGTCTGAGTCAGGCCACATACTCTCTCCGGCTCTCCTGAAACATGTCGACCTGCTGAAGTTCGTGTCTGATTCGAAGCTTCCGACTGAAGCTGCTTCATTAAAGGAGCATTCCGCTGTTTGTTCTGGGCTGGATTTCAGCAGCTCCACTTTGAAATGTAAAATACTTTGATGACTCAAAACCGGACGGGATCTTTTCTAATGCATAAAAAATTATATTTTTATTTTTAAATTAAAAGATAAATGGGCAATATATAGCATCTAGACGAGACTAGCATAAATTACTCCAAACACAGATTTATGAAAACTATAGTATTTGTAAATTTTAATCCTTTTTTTCCCACCACAATCAGGACTCATCTACTTTACAATCCAACAAGTTGGATTTGATGTACTTCAAACTAAATGCAAAGTCTTCAAAACACATTTTAGAATAATTACAACCTTTATCTAATTTGTAAATGGTCAAAAAACTTAGACTGGATTCCTTGTGAGATCTAAAGTAAAGTTTAACCTGGACGATGCTAAACCAACTGCAGTCTTAAAAATTCATTCTAATGTTTGTGAAAACGTTTTTTATACAACAACAAACTTTTTGCTTTATTCATGTCAGAAAATTATCCTTTGGGATATTTTCTTCTGTTACATCTTGTATCTGTAACCAGATAAACTATTAGAAAATGTCCCAAAGAAAACAATTATTCATAAATATTGTTATATTAATCATAAACTATGCCTTTTTCTGTTGTGATGTTTTGAATTGAGCATCTGCAGGATTAAATCTCTAAAATATTATATTAATGTGAAAAATGCAAATTCATAACTCTTAGCCAACAATTACTGCATTCCAAACAATCCTTTCTGATATCATTATTGCATCTACTAGTATGCAGAGAAGCTCCATATAACCAAGAGCAGAAAACCGTTTTTATAATTCATAAAGGTTTAAATAAATCAGAAAGAATATCTTTGGTATAAATATATAGAGCAGTTACTGGACTAGTCAAAGTAATTAAATTTCTCTGGCTGACATTAGGGGTGAGTGGAATGCATTTAGAAATTATCACAATATTTTATGGTATTTGTTGCCCTAATGACAAAAAACTAATTATTTGTAGATTTTTTTTAGGGAACAATATGACTGAAATTGAATCTCACAGCTCCACAATATTGTTCTTAAAAAACAGAAACATTTTGTAATAGGCTTCTTCAGCACAGCAGGGACATAAAACAGCATGATTTCTATCAGTAAGCAGCACAGAACAACTTAATTTAATTATACTCTCCTGGAAGAAACTGTGAATAAAATAGTAACAACCTGGCATCATTACTTGGAATTTATTATGAGAAATAATAATTCTTACAATTGCTACAATAAAAGAATCAAATATTTAACATTCATAAAAAGACGATATAAAAAAATAAAAGTTGCAAAAGTCATAAACTTTGTTAGAAAGAATGTCTGACTAGTGTAAGATAACTCATTAAAGTTAAACCCCGACTAAATTCTGGGTTTTTCTAGCAAGACAAAGACCAGTCCAAATATTTTAGTTTTACCAGCTGGAGCAAGCTAAAGCTAGCTTCGACTCCTTAAAAAATGCGGAATGGCCCTTTACTGGACTACTTCCATCCGCACACTAACTTCAGCCCCGTTCGACCCACTCAAAATGGACGCTAAAATCTTTCAACATTGCACAAGTTTGAGAAGAAAAGATGGCCACTTTTCCATCCAGTGCGTAGCTACGGACACTTCAGAGCTGCAGTCCTCCCCCCGGAGGGCTGTTTGAGGAAACTTCCCAACACTCAAGTCGATGTGAGGCGAATAAAAAGGCAGGCTTGGTTATTTCTGGGAGAGAGTTGATGATGTTAACCGGAGCAGATTTATGCTGATAAAGTTTCTGCCTCACTCCGCCGAGCAGCCAGCCATACCGGCTGGAAGCCCGGAAACAAACCGCTAACCTGTAGGTCCAGCTCCGTCCCAGTTTCAAAACAATTCGGCTGAAGAAAAAAAAAATCACGGATTTCTGAAAGTGTGTGAAGTTTAAAACAGGGAGGTAACAAAGCGGGCTCAGTTTGTAGCAGCTCATAAATATTCAGGTCGCGTCCTGATCGCCACAGTCAGCCAGCATCCCCGCATCAACACTCCAAATTCTCCCAGAAAACAGCCTCCATCACCGGACAAAGTAGTGCAGAAAAGTAGCTTTAATAGTTGGTCTTGGAAGTGACGGGCATTCCCATTCCCAGCGGCATGTCGCATAGTTTTCCTTCCCCCTCGGAGTGTTTGATCTCTCACTCTCCCAAACAGCAATAAATAGGGACAGAAACAACACCATGTTTCACTTACCTGATGACACTGGAGCTCCACTTTCAGTGCCTCTTGTAGGCCTTGTAGTTCCATGTTCCCACCAGGAAAACACTTTTCTCCCACTTTGGACGCGGCCGAGACCAAGTTTAAGTGAATTAAAGATTTTTTTTAAAGCGACAATAACAATTGAAAGAAGAACTACTCCAGGCTGCAGAGCAAGTTCTCGCTTCTTTTTACACAGGCTGGGACTCATCACCCACTTTCCGCCCGTCTCCAAAAGTGCTCCAAACCCCACGGAACGGGCCCGAGTCCGACACGGCTGCTCTCCGGGGCACAGTCGAACTTGGACGGGTCCAAAGCGGTACCGGTTCGCCGTTCCTTTCGGTAATTTCGAGTTAAAAAACGGGGACTATATTTTGTCCGAGTCCGCGCCTTGATTTCACTTTGCCTGAGGAAAAGTTGCGCTTCGGCTGTCAATGGTAATTCTGAAGTTCCCGGATGGAGCAGACCCCCACTGACTGGGCATGCGCACTAAACACATGGAGCAAAGTAAAGGAATCACAGCCAGAAGTGATTTCTGAGCTACAAAGTGGTTTTATTGTACCTGTAGAGACAAAATAACTTTGCTGTAAACATATTTACATGTCTACATATTATTTTAGTAGTATTAATGAACATTTCTTGTTATAAATGTATTGCTTTTCTATGTTATTTTAGCTATTATTCAACTGTACAATGTATATTTGCCTATATAACAAATTCAGACAGAAATACGGCTATGTGAGCCATATATACTGCCAAATTAATGCACAAAACACCCATATCTTCTCATTTAGGTGTATAAACTGATCCAAATATCCAAATAATATTTTATTTAACTCCACCTAACCTCAAAAAATATGTTTCAAAAAATCTCTATCTGAAATTGTGAAAAATAAAACTTAAGTGATTGAAATCATCCATTTTGTAATGCTAGTGTTTCATCAATAAAGTTTAGTTTCTCTGGGTGTGCAAAATGATTTACACAAAAGAAGCAAGAAGGTGAGATACATCTGTACCTTCATCAGTCCTAATATTATGCTGGTTGGACTGTTCAGCCATTACACTTTGGTTCCCATTAAAGACTGCATCCATTTTTTTCTGCTCCCTGAACAGTAATATCCCAACCACTTTTAAATTTTTCTGCTTGTCTCATAAAAAGTTCAGTTTCTTGCAGCTCAATAATTAAAATTCAACTGTGTATTATTTTCCTCAGCTTGTAGCAGCCAGTAGTTCTGCCTGGGCTTTTACCAGGTGGATAAAAATTACATGGAGTCATGCAATATAAAGAGAAACAGAGTCTTTCTGGTAAGGTTACTGTATTCTGCTCCCTCATAAAAACTCATTATGTTTGAACTATAGTTCACCTCACTGTGTCAAACTAATACAAAAATAGTGTTTTGTTTTCCTGAACATATGTTTGCTTTTTATTTGTTAGCATTTTATTTTCAGTTTAAACAACTCCACTTTTTGATAGCTCTTTTTAAAAACATCCATAATTCTGATTTAGTTTGACCAAAGCGTCTCCACTGCAAGGTTTTTAGACCGAGAGATTAATATTTTAATCCCTTTTACTTTGCAACACAACTCAAGCTCAATCAAACTGAGTGGAAAGCATCTGAACACATTATTTTTTGCCAGAGATTTTAGAGTGGATTTGAGTATGGGCTTTGACTAGACTATTCCAACATGTAAATACACTTCAACTTAAATTATTCAACTTTTGCGCTGACTGTCATTTTAGGTTTTCAGTCTTGTTTTCAGGTAAACAGAGAAAATATCTTCTCCCAGGATTGCCCTGTATTTGCTATGATTTGTAGCAAATTAAACTTATTTTTATTTCCTTCTAGTCTTCACAAAAAAAGGAAAATATGTCAAGTACTGACAGCGGTTCCAACCCCAACTGAGCTGTGTGTGTCTGCAGCACCTCCAGAGTTACCATCAGCCTCTTAGCTGCATCTCCCATTAATGCCCTTCTTGCCCCACCTATCACTTTTGTGTCATAATTTTGCCATTCATGAATAATGGATCACACTCTGTTAGACGTTCAAACCTTGGGACATTGTTTTATAACCTTATCTTGCATTCAAATCCTCCAGAATGTTTTCTTTGACACAGAGGGAGTTTATTGATTATTGGGTTCTAAAGTAAATTGGTTGCACTGGAATTTATTTTGGAAAAGAAAAATAATATAAATGTAAAAAGTTCAGTGAAAACAATGTGTAATTTTAATTTTAAATCATGCTTATACACAACCTTGTTTGGTCTATCCCAAAAAATTCCAGTAAAATACTTCAACTAATAAGGGTTTCAGTTTGCTGTGTTTTAGTAAACTGGGGATTCATTTTTGCTTTATTTTTTTACTTTAAACAGTTCTGTTGTTTCTTCACACTCCAACATGGATCATATCATTACCACAGTGTAACAGCAGGTTTAAAAATGGCAGCATGAACATTCACAGTTACAACTTCCTGAGAGAGCGCGAGGAAGTACAAATGAAAGACAAAATGTAGATTTGACTTTTCAGAGCCTCTAAATGAAGATGTTTTTGTGAAGCAGTTGGCTCTGCAAACACAAAGAGGTCAAACGGTTCAGGTTGTTCTCAGAAATCCTCCCTGTTCTCCCCCATTTCTCTCTGCCTTGCCCCCAACACCTCCTCCTTCCTCTTCCCACCTCACCTTAGCGATGATTGGTTAATGACGGAAAGAGGGCGGCAGCGCTGAGCCAATCAGGAGTTGTATCCTAAGAGCGACAGGAAGGACAGCCAATCAGCAGTAGAAGGGGTGGGGCTGCACGCAGGAGTATGTGATCTGAGAGTTGATGAGAATCAGAAATGGCAGTTAATGTTTGATTTCGTAGTTTTAGTCGACGGAACCAACTTTAATATGAACAATTACATCCCAGTGAAACAAATATTGCGTCTATAAGACGCTAAACAATCTTTCTGGGTATTTTAAAGCATGTTTAAAGTCACGATGAGAAGTAAAAACAAGAGAAAGTAGCACCATGGACAGAGGAATCCGTCTCTGTCCAAGCTACAATCTCAGTTTGGCTAACAACAACACTGCTGAGCTGAAAATGGATTAGCTCGTGTAAACATTGACCAGAATTACTGAGTAAAGTTACAGCAGTGTCGGCAGCTTCTTCCCAGCTGACCCCCTCCCCCAGCCGGACAGCTCTGCTGCTACAACCGCTGCTAATTTCCATTTCACGGCTGAACGGCTGAAACTCCCGAAGTCCTCCCGGTGCTGCTCCGACACCGACACAGACTTCACATGAAGACAGCAGCTGCTTAACTGTTTCTACTTTTATTTACTTTCCTGCAGCAGCTGCAGCAGGAAGGTCATTCTGAGCCCCCACCACCCAGAGTGTTTCTGTTCGCCCGTTATTTGGATTTTATGTGGCGTTCAGGTCGTGGTCGGACTGCTGATCATCCACAATGGAAATCAAGGACAAAGCTTTTGTTTCAGTTTTCCTCCAAACTTCTAGAACAGCTTTGAATAGACTAAAAAATACAATATAGCTGGAAAAATTTACACAAACCAGGAAGAAGACAAATGAGTCAACAGCAACCAAGAAGATTAAACCAGAGTCTTAATGCAGTAACAACAAAAGCTCAGCTCACAATCCCACAAGGTTTCATATTTTGCAACATTACAAGGAAAAACATTAAAGTATTTCATTGAATTTTATACCAAAAGAATGGAAATTAAAATAATACAAGGTGTATTATCTGAAAACTGGCATGCATTTTATTCAGCCCTTTTTATGCTTCTAGACTTAAAAACCCAGAGCAAGAAATGGCCTTCAGAAGTTACCTGACTGCTAAATAGACTTTGTCTGAGAACATTCGCAAAGAAAAAGAATCATAAAGACCGAAGAACACAGCTTACATGTCATAAAGAAAGTTATAAAGAAGTTTAAAGCTGGGTTAGGTTATAAAACAATAAAAAACCAAACAAAAAAAGGACTAAATATGGTAGAACTACAAACCTCTAAAGTTGTAAGACAAGTAAGGAGAGAATTAATTAGGAAAAGGATCCAGGAAGACATAAGCATACTGGATTTTGCCTTCCAGAAATAAATTTAGGGTCATCAATCTGATTAAATAACATCGAAATGTTCTGAACCTGCAGAATTAACTCAAAGAGGAGAATCATGCAGCTATGAGGTGAAGTTTTCCTCAGTCTGGTTTTCTCTTTAAAGCGGTGTAGGAACCCAGACAGACTTTCTATCAGCTGGACGTTAGTTTTATCTCACAGTCCACCTCGGGCCAGGCCTGGACTGGCCATCTGTCATTTCTGGCAGAACCTAGTGAAGCCTGGCTGATCCTGCCGTCCGCCTGACGGGAAATGTTTAACGTGGGATATTTAGAAATCAAACAGCCTGCAGCGGGCAGCTCGACTGGCCACAAACACAAACAGTCTGAACATCGCTGTGTGATCGTTACTATTCATTTGCCTCCAGTTCTGAGCAAAGACATTAGCAACAGAAATAGAGTTTATGAGTTCAGATGGGGATAAAAATCACAAAAACATCAGAGCTGGAGTTTTAATTTTTATTCTTTATAATGCAGTCTGCTTTGTAACACAGTCTTTAACTGAGAGATAAATCGCTGAACAGGGAAGAAAACTGAATTTTAATGAAAATGAATTAATTTCATTAGTTTTATCAGGTTAGTCTGAGCAGGAAGTTACTTCACTTTACACAACAAAAAACAGAATTTCAGTCTGCAATGATGAAACAATTGGATTATCATTTAATACATTAGTATTTATGAAACAATCTGCTTCCTGACCTTCACACCATCAACAACAGCACTCTGGAAGGCATAGTTCATCCACTGTTTGGTCATATTATCAATTCTCTTCATTGATTGATTGATTGATTGATTGATTGATTGATTATTTCTTTCTGACTTGGGCCTTGATTGGTTCTTTGCTAAGTTCCTTGTTGGCTCTGTGTTGGTTCCAGTGGTTGACTCTTTTGGTCAATTTTCCTCGGTTAGCTCCTTTGCAGGTTGATTTTTCTGATCAGTTTCCAAACTGGATTCATGTTATGCTCCCTGACTGGTTTTCTTGTTGGTGTTCCTTTGAGGTTTCCAAATTTGTTCTCTCGTTGGGTCTGTGGTTGATCCTTTTGGTTAAGGTGTTTCCTTGGTTAGTTGTTCCCAGATTGATTTTCCTGAAAGGTTTCCTAATCGTTAGATCCCTGATTAGTTGTCTTGATAGTTCCTTTAGTTATTCTACATGTTTTTCTTTCTGCCATTGAAGCACTTTTCAACTTTTCTCTAAAGCCTCTCAGTCTCTGGTTTGATGTCTGCGTTTGAATCTTTTAGTTGCAGCTCTGCTGGTTTCATTGTACAACAAAAATACAACAGAG